CGCGGCGGGAAGCCAGCGATTAACCGCTTGAGCTATGGTGCGGCCTCTGAATTTGATGTAACTAGAAGATATTCTAACTTTATAATTTCTAATTTAACACATGCGTTGTTGTTATTGTCGTTGTTTCTGTATGCGTCATTGTATACACGGCTGTTGTTATAGCTGCTCCTTCCGCGGTTGTTGCCAAGCAGCGGGTGTACATGCCACAATATTGATTGAACTGAATTTAGGGTTCCATAAAAGAGAGATATGCCGGTCACGGTAGCCGAGCGGTCTAAGACGTGCACTGTCTTCGCTCGCTCGGAAACCGAGGTCGTGGGTTCGAATCCCACTCAGGGCATGAATGTTTGTGTGCGTTTTTCTGCGTCTGTGTACAGGTAGAGGCCTTGCGACGAGCTGATCACCCGCCCAAGGAGTCCTACCGAATGTCTAAGATCTAGAAAAACCGAAGTGAACGGAGAAGTTCACGGAGGTAGGCCTAAGCCCACTGGGGCTGTAGTGACAAGGAAAAAAAAAAGATATATATTTCTTGATGAGATGAGCAACTCTAAAACTTGTTCGATTAGATTTTCTCTTGGCGAAAAGTATGAATAACAAGGTCTTCTTAGTTGTAACGCTGTGTAATTCTAAGAGAGCCTGACATATCGGAGGACACACAACGTGATTCTAAATTATTGTCGCGCTTTCCGTGGCCTATAATTTTCAAGCCAGAAACAACAAAATAAAACAGCTTATGAAATAATAAAGGCGAGCATATTGAAGTTGTTTAGCATTCTACAGTATTCATTCTAAAAATAATCAAACCCTTTGAGTAACGCTTTCATATTCCATGACCAGTTTCATTTTGTTCTTTCCTGTTTGAAATTATAGGTCACGAAAACACTGACAATAATTTAGAATCATCCTGTATATCGTCCGTCTTTAGGATCGATGAAAGAGTCAAGCAAAGAAAAACAGAAGCAGGAGTCAAATCCCTGCAAAACTTTTGGCTTTTTCCAAATTACACAACAAATCCATAAGACTGTAATCAACTTTAAACTTCTGATACGGGCCCTACACTACGAAGTTAAGTAGTTAGCGAATTTTAATATGTACCACGTAATTGCTTAACAACCAAAATCTCGTCAAATTCGAAAAAGCTTGCCGGATCCAGTTGCCCTACGACGCATTTCTGGAGTTATTTTTTAATGTACTTCATCCTTTCAGGCACAGTATATCCCTGGTATATCACTCGGTCTCTTTAACAGAAATGAGTACCAAGAATCTTCCTTGGGGGGGGGGGGCTAAAGGGCGCCCGGCACGTTAAGACCGACAACCTCACTGCCATCTGTGAGCCAAATGACTAAAATATGTGGGAGCCTCGACATCTCACAACCCTATGGGCCTCCACGGCCTGTTACAGGGATAGCTTAGCCCTTTGCATCTCCTATTGTGTTATAATTCTATTGCCTTATAATAAAACCAATAAAGGGATTTCAAATATCAGAGTATTAATCGTTTAAACTATTAAAAATAAATAAGTTATTTTTAATCATAGACTGTTAAAGAGTTATGATTCAAGCCACCAGAGCATTTACAAATATTATAAACATTTAAGTTAATATTTTAGCAAAGCGCGACACCTCCTTGTTTCGTGCTCATGTTAAGACTGAGTGGAGCTATACATCCAGAAACTAATACGTACGTATTTACGTTACAGTCATACAAATAACTTTCACTCGGTTGGAATTCGTTGTTTAGTATCTTGTGCACTTGGATCATATAACACATAATAACTGAATTTTTTATTTAGGGATACTTTTTAAATAAGGCAAAGGCCCTGTCGTTTCAGATAACCTATAGACATGAGTCTCATTGCCCAACTAAAAAAGCCTGCATTATATGTTTCCCCACATAAGAAATTTGGTGGAGAAGTTGCCTAATACGCACGACGACACTCGTTCGTCAAGAAATTCTCTTCTTTTACAAAAACTATCCTCAAAAAGCCAAATGCTGAGCCAGATGAATCCAGTTCACACTCTTATAATCAATTTCTTCCATTCACGTCTTCCAACTATGATATTCTGTGCATCTTTCATCTCTCCCATGCTTAATACACGTCCTGCCCATTCCAGACTTCCATGAATTAATTGTCCTAATAATTACATAAATGATTTCCAAAGCCTGACAACTGCATTTTTTATTTTAACAGTTGCACATTCTTTGTTAAACCTATGACGGGATGAAATATCTCATATTAATATCGGTTATAAGCCAAGAAACGTAGAAATTTCATCCAAAACCAGTTATTCTCTTCGCATTCTTTGTCCCTGTTGTGAAATGGACACCCCCGAGAAAAATTCATTGTGTTACCCATGTTTGCATGCAGTGCTCACAGTAGCCAACTAACCAGACACTGTACAGGCCTGAAGGTGGCACCTATTTTCCAACGAGAAAATCAGAATAAAAAAGTTTTTTTTTTTACAAAAATGAATCTGTCATTTATTTCTGAGGGTTGCTAGCAAAAAAAAGTAAAATCTATACTATTAAGAGATAATAAATTAAAAATGTACTAGTTACACATAATTCTAGTTATTTTCACAAATCTCATTTGAATTAGTAACTAGAACTCCTCATTTTCTTCATAAGGACCCGGAAGTAAGGTGACCCCTCTTACCTGGGAAGCATTGTTTGTGGGGTGGAGGGGACTCACCTTATATCCAGGCTGATACAATAATTAACTAACTCTGTGCTGTGAGATCTCTCATATGTTTTGCAAGTTACTCAGTTGCCTATCAGGTTCTGTGTCATCACCACAGAAGCCTTAAATCACCCAAGAACCATTTCTGTTCCGTTTAATCTGAAGGTTTCTGTTGATGGTGTATAACATTCCATTCGATTTGGGGGCATGCGGTAGCGTAGTTGGTTGAGGCACTATGCTACAAGCCGGAAGGTCGCAGGTTCAAGTCCTGATGAGGTCAATGGATTTTTTCAATTGACCTAATCCTTCCAGCCACACTATGGCCCTGGGGTCAACTCAGCCTCTAACAGAAATGAGTACCAGGAATTAATTAAATAATTTTCCTGGGGAGTAAAGCACGGCCGGCGCTTAAGGCTCACAACCTTACTGTCATCTTTGAGCCAACTGTCTAGAAAATGTGGGACCCTCAACATCTCACAACCGTATGGGCCTTCACGGCCTGTTACAGGGATAGCTTTACTTTACTTACATTTTACACATGATGCTTTATTGTTTATCACTTACTGGTCTGTACTATTAACAGGAAGTTGATGTTGGTCGGTGTACAGGGTCATGCCCTGGGGCACAGATACAAAAATGTCTGTATAGGGATCATGCAGACCCCAGTAAATGCCTATCAGGACTCTATGGCAAGCAGTCTTTATGCACCCCATCACATCATAAAGTACACCGCTATACCACTAAGGATCGTCAGATTAAGGAAATAATCTCCATCACAGACTGCAAATGCATCTGACAACCAGATGGCGAGAACAAGCACTCCGAACGGAATAGAAACGACTTAATTTATTTCAAATTCCAGAAGTACGTTTTATGACTCAAAATCAATATAGTTCTGAAAATTACTAGATTATTATACAAGGATAATACTCAGGTGTGACAGAGATTCTATGAGCTAAAAATTTAGAAATTTATTGTATAAAATCATTATCAATTTGCACCAGACAGATATTTTCTGTACTCAGAAAAATAGACTTCTGTGTCAGCCATGATAGCTGTGATATGGTTATTCAAAATTCATGAAATAGCAAATTTTATAATACTTCTGAAATCATGTAAATTCACNGGCGTGACTGACGTAGTGAGGGGCGACGTAGCGATGTGGTATCCTGAACAATTTTAATATTTTTAACGTTTGACAATGTATATGATAGATACATATTTTAGTTATTTTAATGTGTGAACATGGCATGCAATGAACTGGTTTGACGTGGACAAGTAAGCACCTGAAGATGGCATTATTATGCCGAAACATGTAGTGCGAGGGAAAGAAGGAGATAAATGAATGTATGCACTGCAAGACGGATTAAATAAATCATGGACTTAAATCAGTGCAACAGGACGCTAAAATATAACATTAGTAACAGTTAAGTAGTACAGAGTGGATAAACATACACTGGCTATATTTGTGTAAATTAATCTTAGAACTTTTATTAGCCCATTGGCATAACCTGATGTTTGCAGGATGTCTGCTTGGTCAGGTAACTTCACCTGTTTTGACACATATGACATATGAGGGGGATAAATTTGAAGTAGCTCCTTACATGATAAGATGTAGTTTACACACACTGAAGTCCTCTAACAACTTTCAGGCATTTATTCTGAAGTCTTAGAATTTGTTCTGCGTAGATATTCTAAATTGGGAAAATCAAGCAGTGTGTGCTTTCATTAATATAAAAAAATACCTGCTGTCACACATACAAAAAAAATTCTAGAGATTGAACTGAGACAAAAACTTAACATTACTTAATAGTGAGGATTGAATGTATAATGAAAGTATAAGGGATGGGCCTTCTTGACCCTTGCACTGTGATTTACAGCGGTCTATTGTGCTTAATAGTGAGGATTAGTACAAATTGTAAATTCAGTCAGTAAAAGGGTTATAAAATGGTCTATTGAATTTTTTACAAAACATACATTTTGTAAGTAGTTACTATAGGATTCTGATGATGGTGTATAACACACTGATATATTGGGTTTCTGGACTTTATCCATCGTCCTGGTTTTTAAGATAACAAATAAAAACACGACATTTCGGAAACTGGATCTGTTTCCGTCCTCAGGTGAAGGAAAAGGGGAACACCTATTCTGTTGGGTCCGTTAGAAAGAGCTGGACCACTCATTGGTCCAGTGATTGAGGTTAGCTCTTTCTAACAGACCCAACAGAATAGGTGTTCCCCTTTTCCTTCACCTGAGGACGGAAACAGATCCAGTTTCCGAAACGTCGTGTTTTTATTTGTTATCTTAAAAACCAGGACGATGGATAAAGTCCAGAAACCCAATATATCAATACATTTTGTAGCTCATAAAATAAAACATTCTAGGTCTTCAACATATTGTTAATTGTGTGGAGAATTTACCAGTTCCATCATTTTTATTACTGTAAACTGGTGTAACCGTTCCACTGCTGTGCTGTCTATTTAAATATTATTTATGCTATTAATTTGAAATTTAATTGTTGAATGTAAGGACATGAACAAGTGTAGTGGGACTTAGGTCAATTCTTGTATTTAAGAGCTACCGTCTTCCTACGCTTACACCAAAAGCAGGAAGATACGTGTTGAAGATTTATTAAGGGAAAGTTACATAAAGAATGGCTAAAGAAGTTTTTGTGAGTTCTTTAGTTGACAAATTTCTACAAGCTATATATTTTAGCAGGGTGATGGGTTTAGAACCCAAGCCACGCTACACATTCATCACTTTTTTGACAGGAGTTCGTTAAGACAGAATTTCTTCACCCCTTTGTAAGAGTTAAAGTGATTGGAGGAATGTCTAATTAGAATACCTCTAAATTTTAAACCGACCAATCACGGAAATTTGAGTGTGTGATAGAACAAGGACGCTGGTGAAAGCCAGGAACTGAACGTCCGAGGAAGCGTCAGTTGTCAGACTCAGTCAAAAACCGGGAGTCGAAAGAATCAGACGTGGAGTCGAAAGAACCAGACGCGAAGTCGGAAATCGGGACTAGAAAGGACCAGATGTGAAGTCACTTACGGGGCTATCTAGATGAGAAATAACTTTATAGTAACAAGCTGTAATGATAAAGTGTAATAATCTGTTGTGAAGTGTGAAACCACGGTTAGAAGTATAATAATAATATTAAAACAGGATGAGCTAAATTTAGAAGGTAGCAAACAGTCCGACAGTAACAAGTGTTTGATAAATTGTAAACTGAAAGTGTCGCAACTGATCAAGAGTAATAATAATACCTCAGGAACTCAAGTGTGGTGGTGTTGCATAAGTGTTCTACCTGCCTTTCTAAGTGTGGTCCATTAAGACCTTGAGACAGAGAACTCAGCTCTACTGCTCCCAACAACCTTACCCTTGTTAATCTTATCAACCCTGAGAAACTTAATCCTATCAACCCTGAGAAGTTTAATCCTAACCCTGAGAAAATAAATTAAGAAGAAATAAAAAGGTAGGTGGCGTCATCAACAAGAAGGAGAAGAAGAGGGTGAGGAGGAGCAGTGAAGAAGAGGCGCTTCTGACGAAGACGTCGCAAGTCCAGAGTACGGTTACACTGGATTTAAGGTTCTCATAATGACTGAGGGGAGTGGTAATCTGGGCTTTGATGTCATGTAGTTTGGAGAAGGCCTAATGTTTCAGAGTACAATATCACTTCCACCTTCATGACCAAAGGGAAGGCCAAGCAAGAAACCAGAAAGCTGTGGATGTCAACCTAAGCTCTTCTCTTTAGCCCTGAAGATGGAGGTGGTATGTCCCTGCAAATCATTGAGCTTTTTCTAACTATATGCCATTGCGACCCACATGACTGTACTCTCAAAATCATAACTTGCTCATAAATTGGAATGACGGTACAAATGTTATCAATATATGCATATTTGTAACTAAAGAAAATAATGACATTAGGCAGAATTCTTTTTAATGAAATATTGAAAAATGTGACTCAACAGCTGTGTTCAAATATTGAGGGGGCTATGATTCCGTTCATAAGAATTATCAATTAACATGTATCCAAAAACATAACCTCTTTTAAGTGGTTCACTGTTTAATGATACTGAAAACAAAACATCCCTCTGCCTCTCATATGCAACAATTAAAACAAACTTCTTAATACTCATTTGCAGTCAGGGATGATCCTACACTATAGGGAGTTAAATTAAATTCAATTAAATTGCTTAAGTTGTACAGCAGTAGGAAAATCACGTAGTAGAAGTACATGTATATGTCTATTTAAGTAAATTATTCAAATTTGTATTTGGTTTTGTGTTTGCCCAATTGAAAATTGTGTAAATTCCAACATGAAATTAGTGTTCTGGATACTTCCATATCCTTTATGACATCATGACAAATTCTCACATGATTAACTTATTGCGAGAAGGTGTATTCAATTTAGAAATCATGTAAGCATTTGGTTTTTGTTCCTCCAAGATGGTTCAATGACTTGTTCCATTTTGCTGTTCTCTGAATGTTTTTACAAGAACTTTTATAACATCAAGGAAAGAAATGTACACACCATTGAGGAAAGTAGTCTGAAGCTCCTGAATTATTCCTCTTAATTACATTTAGTTTAAAATTTAATAATTTACATGTAAGTGGACGCATTAATGAAGTCTCAAGTTGAGAATAATGCCTTCTGTGGTGTAATATCACTTAGTCCAGTAGAATTTCTTGGACTTTTTTAGGAACATATTCCCTTGATTTTCAAGCTTGAAGAACACATAGTGAGCCCTGAGATGTAGGAAGTACGAGTATGTCCCTTTGAAACTTCAATAAAATTCTACCAAACTACATGGCACTACATCTAAGGAGATAGTACTCTTCATAGTTACTGCTGTGAGAACCTTAAGGCCAACACAAATCAGAAGTGTTTGTCACATTATTTCCAAAATCATTTCCAGTGTCCAGTTAGTGAAAGGAGGACTATGTTATCTGTATTTATATGAAGATGGGATTTCCACATCTGAGTCAAGTCTTAAAATTATTTATAAGTAATGTATAAATTCTTTGTAACCATTTAGATAATTTGGTATCAATTTGGTTACAGTTCTGCAGTACACAAGTAACAGATTTTTCTTTTATAGAGATGTTCATGAGAATCTTTCATATTTAATAATGAAGTAAAATTAAACTGATGTTACTACTGTTTAGTAAATTATTTTATAATATCATTAATTCAAATCAAAATATACAAGAGTCAGTTAATTTATTTGGAATTATTTTTAGAATCTTTTTCACTACTTCATAAAGTGCTCGTATATGATATAGATTTCTCAGTGTCTTAACTCATATTTTCTTTTAAAGAAATTGTGATGACCTAGTTCATGTAAATTAAATTGCTTGGGGATCAGACTTTATATGTTTCCATCATAACTGAAGAAGAAATAAAAGAAAATGTTCTACATATTAAGAAAATATTTCTTGACAAATTTTTATTATGCACAAGAGGCAAAGAATTACGTGTATTCAGCTTTCAAGATTATGTGAAAGTGTTCTTGAGAACTGTGGAAAGCGAAGTGTTAAATAATAAATTTGATCAATTCAAAACTTGATGTCCTAATGTGGAGAGGTTATGGATAAAAATAAACTATAGTTAATGCCATATATGGAAAATAATTTGGTTTCAGAGATTTTACAACATAACTCCTATTGATGGAACTAGTTTAATCAGAAAGTGATTTTTAGTGTTTTACATTTTCTGCCACTTTACACTTAAAAAGTTATGTATTAAATACAATGTTTTAGTGATTATATTTGTTTAAGAAGTTGTAGAAAAAAAAAACGATAAATACTGGATAATTCAATGAAACTGCACATAAGAGAGGATGTTCCTCTGAAGTGTAAAAACATGCACAAGTAGCAATGATGTTAATGGATATGCGTAAGGTTAGTTGAAAATTAAATATCAAATATAATTAAAAAACTGAACAGATATAGCAAATACAAGTAATATCTTACTGAGCTGTCCACTACTGCTGGTTCCTTATTATACAGATTAAAATTTCGAAGTTCAAGACGAAGTACTACAGCATCCGTTATACCTTCAACAGTCAACATTCCATGTGGAAAGTCTGTATATCCATATATAACTTCAAAGCAACTATATAACATGTGTGATGGTGATGTATAACAGAGGCTAAAGATGACTTTCTGGTAAGATAATGGATTCATCTAATTTGTCATCAGAAACAGTCTAAGATATTTTATATTTCAGAATTAATTTTTAATTGAAATTATAAACAGAAGGTACAGTAGTTTGTAGTATAACAGAGGCTCTTGCCACCAAAAATAAATGGGGTAAAAATAAATTATTTTACAACTTACAATATATACAGTTCATTTACACGAAGCATTCCATGATGTGATCACAATTATGTCTGGTATTTCACATGAAAGACTTCCCCATTTTGCCAAACCCACTTTGTCGACAGTCACAGAAGAATACTACTCTTAAATGTATTATTTTCCCAGGAAAACAGTCATATATTTGGGAATCTGACAACTATTTGGCAACTATACATGATAGAAAGAAAGACTGACAGGAGATTATTATAGAAGTTTATAATTTGTCTTAATGATAATTTTACGAGTTACAGAATTTACTTATTGCTCAGTGAGAAATTATATATAGGATGATTCAAATTCTTATGACTCAAACTTTAGGAGAATGTTGACGAGATTTGGTGCAGAATATGTATATTGAAAAAAAACAGTTAAATTCACCACTGTTTCAGAGATAAAACATTTCAAATTCTAGTCTTGATTTATTTGTGTGCTTGTGTGATGGAGCCTTCATAATGTCACAAGATGTTCATGATGTATTCACATATTCATCATGGCAAAATAGTGATAACAATGAAGTGAGATGGCACAGTTTACCAGGCTGAATATGTTGGCATGCAGGTTGTGTGTGGTTTCTTTGATGGAAATGATAGAGCAGCATTGAAGGAACACCAGTGTTGATATCCAAGTCAGAAGTAACGCAACAGATATGCCGGCGGTGGCATTTTCGAAAATCAGCGTTAAGCACCAATAAATTCAAATTAAAGGTAATTTCTTGAAGTTAATTTTACATTCATACTTTAAATGTATCATGTATTATGCTGGTTTATTATTTTGTACCGATTATTGTCTAATCGTTACCTTCTATTCGGAGTTTAAAACGGTCATAATTCCATAACCATCCAAAATCGGACACATGTTTATCTGAACTTTATTGATCACAAAGACCTATAAAATCACCTCCTGCAGTTATGCCCTAAAGTCGTGAAACACCATGTGCATATACTGCCAAGAAAGCCATGTGCGGTATATATGTACAGTTGTAAAGGTCGTGACATGCAGTTTAGAGGAGGAAGGACGAAATATAGAAAGTAATTGACTGACAAGAGAGAAGGGATAGACCCGTCTTGACATCAGAAAGGATTCTTATTAAAGGCCAAACAGTGAAGCTACTTCAAAACAAAGATCTGGTCATAAGCGTCTGAATGGGCTCTAAATTAAGAGAAAGTGACTGGCCAACGGTAAATCGTAAAATGGCTGAAATGAAGCAAGAAGTAAAGAGGAATTTTGTAGAAACGAAGAGGTAGGATATGTGGAAGGCGAAGGCGAATAGTTGTCATAACCATGGTGTTCCTTTGTTAAGGCACTGGCGTATGGTTTAGAAGTTACGTGGTTTGAAGACATGACTATTTTTGGGAGAAAGAAGATTTAAGAAATTTGTGCATGTAGGAAGTAAGTCATACTATATGAGGAAGGCGAAGGTAACAAATTTGTCTAGATCTGGGGGTACGTGGGTAAGACATTGGCATAGTATTGGGAAGGTACCGGGTTCAACACCACGGTGTCTTTTGTCAATAGAAATTGAAAAGTGAATGAATAAATACGATTTTTCTGCAGCTATAAACCAAGTCGTAGAATATGAGGAGGATCGCAGAAAGCTATAGTATAGATGTTCTGGTGGTCTAGAGGTAAGGCACCGACGTTATGAAGAAAATGACCGTGGTTCGAGAACACATGGATTTTTGTAATGAGATTTTTTCTGGAATTACATAGCGAGATGTAACATAAGAGGAAGATTAAAGGAAAAAAATCCGCGGCATTGGTGGTGTATGGGAAAGACACTCTCTTAATGTGCCAGAGTTCCTTGGTTCGGAGCCAACGAAAGTTTTTTAAAATACAAATGGAGTTACTAAGATTTTTCTGTAATTATAACAAAAGATGTAACACAAGAGGAAGATTAAAGGTAAAAATTTTCCCTGGCATTGGTGGCCTATTGGTAAAGTACCGGCGTAGCGAATAGAAGTTTCGAGATTCGGAACCAGCGAAAGTTTTATAAAATACAAGTGGAGTTAATAAGATTTTTCTGTAATTATAACAGATGTAATATAAGAGGAAGATTAAAGGTAAACAATTCCGTGGCATTGGTGGTGTATGGGTAAGACACTGGTCTAATGTGCAGGAGTTCCGAGGTTCGGAACCAACTCCATTTGTATTTTATAAAACAAATGGAGTTAATAAGATTTTTCTGTAATTATAACCGAAGATGTAACTTAAGAGGAAGATTAAAGAAAATAAATTTCAGTGGTGCTGGTGGTCTAGGGGTAAGACATCAGCCTAGTGTTTGGAAGGTCCCTGGTTCAAAATCAGTAGGATTTTTGTGAAAAAGGAAATGGAAATACGTTAGGAGATGGGGTAAGGGAGGAGGAAGAGACAGAGGGAGGGAATATTTTTGCTTTTTGCGGCCGCCCATTAAAACACTCTCCTTAGCGGGTATAGGCTTTCACTGAAAAAAAAAATCCCCCACCACCGCCGCCAACCACCCGCCCTTAGGGGTGACTTGAAGTTATTCACTTGAGACCAAGCTAATTCAGCGAGAGTTAACAAGAAAATATTTAAAACTGTAGCGCCATCTGTGGACTTAAACCTCGTGGAAAGCCACGAAGTGTAGTTAAAATCGTCAAAATAGGGCGATATGTCACTGGCAGCACGTGGTAATCAAAGAAGGGTGGGGACAAAAGAGAAAAATTCGACAATTCACAATGGCGTTACTGGTAGAAGAGAAAAACAAGAATTAAATTTCAATGCCTAATAGCTGTTTAAATATACTGAAATACTGGACAAATGACAGTCGTCATTTGTAGCATAAATTTGACACAATATGTCACATACGCCTCTATTTTGTCCAATGACAGTGACAACGCTAACCCTACAGGCCAATTTGGAAAACCCGAACAGTATTCCAGTCGGCAAACTAGTTACCTATTTTTATGTACTTTTACCTCTTCCTCTTGAAAAAAAGCAAAAATAATCTTAATATTCATGTTGTCTTTTGGATTACCATGCTACCTGCTGGGTCCTGACGTTAATGGAGGAACGTATTTCCTCCATATTTGAGTTACAAAATAGATGTATGTTATTCTAGAACAGTACCAACCTACCAGACCTAGAACACTGCATCACAAATCATCACTGTTGTGAAAAACTCAAATCCTAAACCTAAAAATATTAATAATAATTAAATTGTTATAGTTTCCAGTTGGCAAAACTTGGTTACAAGTAGACCAATGACTAGATAAGATTACAACTTATGGAATAACAGTGTACAGTTATTAATAGAAAACTGTAGGTCGCAGTGCAAGGGCCGAGAAGGCCTACCCCTCATTCATTCATACTAATTATTTCATTCAACCACCAACTGTGACATAACATTTGTTTTCATAGAGCAGCACAGTCTAATTGTTTTCGTCTGTATTATTTGCTGTAACTTATGTAACCCTTTCACTATTAGGCAAGAAAAACATGTAAATCAACCTTATTTTGGACAATATCACATGCTCATCAGAATGCATACATGAAGGCACTATTTAATTCCTGCACGTGTAAACATATTGCATGTTTCTTAGTTCTCAAAATTAGATTTGTACCTCATGTAAAACTCTCTTCTTGCATTGAAATTTCATGAAAAAAAAAAATCAGTGTCACAGCATACCATATATTTACAGAAATGATTCTGTTCACAGCGAACAGTGTGCTTCTATGCATAACACACCTTCCCATAATGGCAAAAGGGTTAAAATTTATATGATAAATTATGATAAATTTTAAGATCCAAGTAACTGTCAAGTACTTCATGTTTACGACTATAATATACAGAAATATTCTTCAAAGTTATTTCATAATTTCCATTTTACAGTACAGTCACATCCTAAACACAAGGCATAACCTAAAATTGCACCCATTGAAAATCCCTTAATTACCCACAAGGTATATCCTTTTGTATAAACACTGTAATATGTATTTATATAATGTATTTAATAAAGGGTACCCATACAAGTAAAATGTAGAGTAATTTTATTTACATAAATAATAGACACAGAAAAATGAAAGAATTAAAAAGAAACAAGGTAAACCTGAACATTCACTATTTATCCTGGATATTCTGATGATTTAGCCTTCCTCTTCCCCCCCGAAACACTATTTGATGGTGGTCTGGACTCGATGTCAAAGCAGGAGATATGGGAACAGTCTTGGGTGGCAGACACCAAGTCTTTTCTTTAGGGGGGTTGTATGGTTGAATTTGCATACGATGCAACTCCACTGTATTTCAAACAGAAAAATGTATATTAACCTTTAAGAGATGGGCTATTTAAATTCCTGTAATGGCAGCAGGCCTGAGTTAATTTAAATGTCCGTCATTGTAGAGTATTAAAAATTGTAAGCATGTTGCTGAAAATGCTGTGATTTCTATAATTTTTGTAATAAACAAACGAAATAAATGCTGCTTTTATCTAGAAAGAATATAGAATCAGATATTGTAATTTACAGATTTTAAAATCTGTAAAAATTGTTACACTGATTCCAAAAAAAAATTCCCAATTTTGAGCATCTGTCCACAAATATGCATACAGTTTCTGCACAAAACGTTTCTGCAGTATAAATGCATGCTGCTGACATCCTGTCTTACTATGTCTTATCTGGCAAAAGGGGAGGAAGTTTACGTTTGTATTGCACATTCTCCAGTCACATCAGAACCTTTCTGTATGCACGAGTGTGGGCAAAGTCTTATCGTACTTTGTCCTTCAAAAACTCTGACTGTGTATATCTCGGACTAGCCACACAGAGGTACTGTTCTCAGAATAGCCCCACAATTCCCCCTTGCTTCTTCGCCACTTTCGGAGTCGTCTATACCACATTCTGAATCAGTGTCATTTATCAGCGGCCTCTCAATTTCAGCTTCTGCCATGCGAAATGAGGCCATGGTGGATAGTTGAAATTGCGATCTTTTATAAGCGTTACGATTAGAGGAGGCTACTAGACATCACTGGCCAACTTCCTCTAATACGAGACTGAGGTGTCGTGTGTGCTCTTTGCATGGCAAATGGAGTTACATCTGGACAAAGTGCATGAATTGCAATGTCAGACTCTGTATTCAGTTAGATGACACAGGAGGGAAGACTGTCTACTTATAAAGCGGGTGCCCAAAAATAATTTAAGTAGAACAAGAATTTATATCTTAAAATTAGATTTTAAAACACTGTGCGCACTAATGGACTGGGCGTACCCATACGGTGTCGCACGGCCACTCGGCTACACTTTAAAGGTCTCCATACAGTGTCACTAGGCTCTTCAAGGTTAATATTCTTAAAAATTTCCACTATATTGTTTGAAGTTCTCATGGCAGTGAAAATGAAGACTGTGATCTTCTGTGATATGTAGCCATGTCGTCTGGTAGATGGTTTTCGAACATTTCTTAAAAACCTATTGCCTCTATTTTTCAGTGTACCTGAAAATGAAGGCAGCAAATTTTTGTAAAATATTGGTAATCATCCACCAGCTTGCACTTCAGACTACATGCACTCATACTGAAGATGGAAGGAGCAGGTTCATATAAAAGACAGGAAATAATTAAACAAAATGTAAGCCCTGAGAGGGCTCATTCTTATAAGGCAACAGTATGTTCTTCATGTTCTGAAATAGCTAGCATACACACAACAAACTGTTTCACATTCAGATGAACAAGATATTTAGTGAAGAAAATAACTGTATCATAGGTTATCATGCACTTCTATAATCAGAAACAAAATATATATGAAATTTACGGTATTCAAAATTATTAAAAACTGCAGACAGCTCATTGCAATTATTAGAGTTATCAAGGCATAATCATGCACATTCTTCTGCAATCAGTCGTCATACTTTGGCACTGATTTGTGGCACACCTCTCTAGGTTTTGCACTTGAAGACATGAAGACAAGGCATAAAAATCTGTATTTACGAGTTCATAGACTGTTGATTGCTCATCAGTTTTTCTATGTCATCGATTTGTTTTGGGCATCCAGCAGTAAGGACAATGGGCCCTGAAGCAGTGATAAGAACATCATCTTCTATTCGCACTCCAAGCCCATGGTACTGTGAGGGTGCTAACTTGTTCAATGGACTCACATAAATTCCTGTTGGACAATCAAAAAATAATTGGTCCTAGACACAATGAACCACACAATTCTGACTTCATAAATAATTTACTTAAAAGATTCACCTTCTTGATACCTATGGCCCTTTTGAGAAGTTTCCCAACACTAGTGCGCTTTAAAGAATGAAGATAAACTTGGACTTACACAACCAACAGATGAGAGTGATGGATCAAATATTGTGTAAACTCACTTTCAGCCAGTGTTGAGGTTCTGAATGAAAGACACTTCATTGGTGGTGCTATGTGGGCTAAATTTGGTTAAATTCATTTAAATTGCACAAACATGAAGAAACCTTCCCTCCTAAGTTCTAACAGATGGAAACCAACCTTATGTAAGCATGCCTTCTACCAGCTGTGCAATGCATTACTGCAGTGGTGCATGCATGCTGTCCAGCTAGAAAAGTCCTGCATTTTCATTTAAACTACCACTGTCATCTCCAAGTTAAGATCTGGCTACCAGCTCCATAATTCCATTGGACTTGAAATCCCATATTCCCAGAAAACATACGGTAAACCCAATTTAAAACCTGGCCAATTCTGTGGTACTGGGAAATTAAAAACCCCCTATTTTCAGATGCTTGTAGGTTAAGTTGGTAGGTGCCATCCATCCTTTTGGTTTACCGTGACTATAATCATACTTTCAGGATCTTTATACTTTCAGTCTGAAAGAAACAATTTACCTGGCTCCACGGTGATCACCATTCCTGGTTCAAGAGGGACACTCCGCGGGATGAGGGCAGTGTCATGCACATCCATGCCAAGGTAGTGGCTGACATGATGTGGACAGAAGCTGTAAGCAGCCTAACAACACAGAGAAACATTTCTATATTTATATTTACTATGAGTTTACATAAATAGGGGCACGCGGTAGCATAGTGGTTGAGGAGCTATGCTACAAGCCGGAAGGTCATGGCTTCAAATCCCGATGAGGTCATTGGATTTTTTTCAGTTGACCTAATCATTCCAGCCACACTAGGCCCTGGAGTTTACTCGGCCTCTAACAGAAATGAGTACCAGGAATTAATTAAATAATTTTCCTTGGGAGTAAAGTGTGGCCGGCACGTAGGGCTGACAACCTTACCGCCATCTTTGAGCTGATTGTCTAGATAATGTGGGAACCTCAATGTCCCACAACCCTGTGGGCCTTCACGGCCTGGTACGGGGATAGCTTTACTTTTTACATAAATATTTATAATGTTTGTAACATACTGTTCTCTTACCTTTTCTAACTCTCTGCTGTCTGAAGGACTTCATTACCATGGTGGGACTGCCCACATGGCAGATTTTATTTATTCCAAATGACGGGGTGATCATAAAGCCGGTGGCTTGGAGAGGAGACTTATAGTTTTAAAGCGAATTCAAAGAATACATGAAAATAGAAAGATTTTCCTAAAATTCAATGACAGTGTTACTCACAAAAAATGATCAACCAAATTCAGCTCTGGTTCACACTGAATGAATTGGATTACCACTTTATGCAAAAATCCAAAGGCTGTATTCATATACATTAAAACTTGGTTATAGCAACATCGGTTTCTGCGACACCTTGTCTATTGCGTCAAATATTCAATGGTACGAACTAATTCCTCATAAAGCAATTGTTTTTATACCTGGCTTAGTACGACATGCACAAATGCATCAACCTCATATGTAACGTCATTTTCATTCCTGAATTTCTCTGATATCGTGGGAAAGTTCGATGTGTCTGCCCACCCTCACTTTCTCTACTTGCCGACGTGACTGTCCTGGAAGAATATGACCGCGGGCTGCAAGAGGAGCGTGGGTTTTATGCGAAAACAAGGGTGTGGGGTGGGACTGCGTGAATAGTGCAAGAGGACACGGCAGGTTGTTAACTGCATTCCTTTCCTAGAATCTCGTCTAACAGGACCTCATATTGTCTACTTACCCTATAGTGTTCCTGCCTAAACCCAGAGAAGTGCAGTAGCGAAAACATGGCAATGAAAAGGAAAGTTTTAAGCATTGAAGAGAAAGTTAAAGTGATTCGTGAAATATTAAATGGAAGGAAAAAAGCTGATGTATGCCATGAATTTGGTTTGGTGAATTCTACAGTACAAACGATATGGAGAATCCATATTAATTCCACGTTAATGTTACGTTA